CTCAATTATGTTTGAGGTACATGCTTTGGGTGGTGGTGGGCGTTGGGCGTTCCAGGGTATGTGACAGGGTATTCTGCGGATCCACTTCCATTCTTCTCGCTCCACTCTTACTCGACGAGAACGCCAGCATATTTCATTCTGTTCACCCGCATCCCAGCGAACGTGTGCCGTTTCTTCTCTTTGCGGGCTTCGATGTCCGCATCATTACCTTCCCGACCCCACGCACCCTCCCCACTCCTTCCCCCTCTTCCCCCTCCCCGGCCGCGCGCCCCTAGGTTGACTACGAGTCGCCATCCTGCGCATTTCGCCAGCACCAATGAAACCACGGCTGCAGCAGCTGCATGCAACCGGAGCAGCTGCAGCCTCGGAGGCCTCCCACGGCTTCCTCTCATTGCTCCTCTTCCTCAATCTCCACATCCTCCGCCTCCGCTTCCTCCTCGAATACCCCCTTAGTATTCGCCTCATCTCCCGCCCATCCCTCTCGAGCACGAATGTCGCTCTCATCCGCGTTATTACCGCATTTCGGGACAGCGGCAAGCAGAGTTGGAGTCGGGACAGCGGCAAGCAGAGTTGGAGTCGGGACAGCGGCAAGCAGAGTTGGAGTTGGGACAGTGCAACGCAGTTGGGAGGAGCAAGAGTCGAAGCGGGGCTCACAACGAGACCCCGTGCGTGCGACGGCAGGCGTGGGCCGGCTGGCTGGCAATTCCAGGCGTTGTCATCGGCGCTAACGTCGTCGCCACGTCATCGTCGTCGTCTCGTCTCGGAGACTCCGATTGAACTTGCCGACCTCAGGAGCTTCACCTACCTGTAGGTCTGTCGGTCCGTACTGCACATGTGACTGTACTGTACGTCTGTCCGTGTGTAGAGCTCCTCACCTTTTGATTACGATGCTGTGAATAAAGATTATTTATTTTCTCCCCTTAGCTCGCTCCTCTTCTCCCCTTCCCGCCCCTTCCCGCCCCTCTCCCCCCCCCCCCACCCCCCCACCTTCTCCCTCTTCCTGCTTCCTGTCTCCTATTCGCCAACTCCCCTGCCCTTCCTGAGTGCGTCCGCAGCTACCATGCACTCCTTTCTCCCCACTAAGCACCAATCAGCACTCCTCTCTCTCTCTCTCTCTCTCTCTCTCTCTCTCTCTCTCTCTCTCTCTCTCTCTCTCTCTCGAATGGTCCTGGTATTGATTGATGGGAGATACATGGGAAGATGCAAACACATGCAAACCCAGACATAACACTTGGTCTACCTAACTACCTCGTTCCCTTACTCCCTCCCGCCCCCTCCGTCCGACCCTAAAGGTCGAACGAGGGCTCTATTAGCTGGTAGAGCTGGCCTTCGCTAAGGGGGGCAAAGGGGCCCCGCATGCCGAGCTCGTCCGCTGCTATCGCCTTGTTGGTCTTGCAGCGGAGGGCGTTGGCTTGTGCTTTTTGGAGGCACACGCTCCACACTGGGGGTATTCCGTCAGCGGCTTGGCGGCCTCGTAGGAGTTGGGGGCTGCGTTGAATCGCAACTTGGCCGCCAGCTCCGCGCACTGCCGCAAGAATGCCAACACCCCGGGCGAGGGGTACCCATATGTCTCTACCGCTAGGGCATGAAAGCCCACCCACGCATTTCGGCGCGCGTATTTCTGCTCCTTCTTGTCCGCAGCTGCCCTAGCCGCCCACCCCGGTGCTCTATTGCACTTCTCATCTTGGTGAGAAACGGGGTCCGTCACTGTCACGTCGCACATCCAGACCTCTCCCGTCCGGGGATGGCGGATTGCGACGTCCGCCTTCAGGTTTTCAACGAGAGAGAATACATAGGTTTCTTTGTGCACCGTGAATCCCGCCTCTGCCGCAATCAAAGCAATCTCGTCCCTGAGCGCATGGTGAGTCGCAATCCTTCCCCCCCCTTTCTCGCAGCGCATGAGATGGTTTGGGAGGCGGTCATCAGGGAATTTGGTGCGGTAGCGGTAGTCGCAGCGCCTGGGGACAGGTAGGGGGAGGCCCAGGCGGAACGCAGCAGCGGAGGAGAGCTGGGAGGGTCCCATCCTAAGCGAGGGTATGATGGGTAGTGCCAGCAGCCAATCTCCCGCACCAGGGCCGAGCACCGACTGCATTCTCTGGGCATGGCCAGAGAGGGGGTTGGGGCGCATCCGCCTTGCCTCGTTCATGACCCTCAGGAAGCGGCGTGTCTGAACCGCCAGCGCTAGAGACTGCTGCAGCTTGAGGCCCTGTGGGTCTGCTTTCCCGGCCAGGAGAGCTTCTAGAGCCTCAGGGGGGAGGGCTGCTTCCGCTGCTGCAAGACGTGCAGGGAGGGGTTGCGCAGAGCCGGAGGTGGGGTCCATTAGGGGGAGGAGGGCTGCTACATCTGGGTGGAGTGCCTCGGCCAGGGAGTGCAGTAAGTGGGAGGTGCCCACCACCGACGCAAGGTACGCATAGCTCCCTTCAACTCCAGGATTTGTAATGCCAGGCCCCCCCAATGTTACGGGCAGCGCCGCTTGCCTCCAGATTCTCCTCTGTTCCGCCTCACTCCTTGGCAGCATGATATGGGCCGCGTCTAGGAAGGTATGCAGCAGTTGCTCCCCCCATGCCGCCCATTCATCCTCAGGTAGTGCCTCTAGCGGAGTGGTTCTGGCCACGAAGGATGCTCGCCGGCCCACGCAGCGGGTGAGAAGCAGCAGGCACAATTGGGGGTCCATTTGGGCCAGGAGCGGCAAGGGTTCTGCTGCTGCTGCAAGCCTTTCCCTTACTCTGGCGGCACAGCCATCTGAGGTCCCGATTGGGCTTCCTAATATCCGCAGTCCGTCTGCTGCAATGGGGAAGCTCGGAGGGAGAGAGGCGGGGTCTATGGCGGTTGCAGACCAAGCCTCACACTTCCCAAGGTTGTGCTCAAGGCCTATGTGGATCAGTGCAGCAGTGAGGTGTGTAAATGCCGTCGTGCACGCTTCTGCTTCGCCTAGCAGCGTTATGTCGTCTGCATAGGCGAGAATGACGACCCTTGGGTGAGCTAGTGCCGTTGCGGTAAGGTGTGGGTGGATGCTTGCTGCAAAGAGCAAGGGGCCAAGAGGGTCCCCCTGGCGGACGCCTCTAGTACTTAGCAGTGGAGCCACGCCGAAGTCATGGTCGAGGTGGAGTGCTGAGGAAGTTCCGTAGGAGAGGCGGACAAGGGGCAGAAGGCTTTCAAGGGACTCGTTCTTGAGCCCCTCGAATACCGCCGCCCTTTCCACTGCGTTAAATGCGTTGGCGAGGTCAATCTGCAGCGCCACCGAGCCCGGGTTCTCCTCCAGGTATGTGCGCGCAATGTGAATGGCCGCCTCAATCCCTCTAGCCACTGCTACCCTGAACTGTAGTGGCTCGAAGTGTGATCGTGCCGCCGCCCCAGTCAGGAACAATGCTGCCTTGGCCACTATGCGAAGAAGGCATTCGCCCACGACTATCGGTCGGGTCCCCCCCTGCGGTTTGGTGAAGGCCAAGAGCCGTGAGGCTGTGAGGAGCTCGGTGGCCTCGCTGCTGAGTTTCCCGGCTGTAGCTGTATTGGTAAGTGCGAGGAGATGGGCGAAGATGTCTGGATTTCCGAGAGCAGCATCGCGTATGTGCTCGAAGGTTGTGCCTGAGGGCCCTGCTCCCACCCCGTTTGGGAGTTTGGCTACGATGCGCCTGAAGTCGCGCGGCTCTATCGAAGGGGTTTTCTCGGGGGAGAAGGTGCGTATCCATTCTGGTAAGGGCTGGAGTGCTTGCGGGTGTCGTGCTGCTAATGCCGCGTACACTTCGGAGGAGGCAGGTGAGACCGGAGTGGCTTAGAGGGACTGTAGTGACTTGGCCAGGTTACCACGCTTGGCCAGTCCCTCCGCTCTAGCAAGGATGCCCTGAGTGTCAGGTACGTGACGTGGCTGGGCTGGGAGGGAAATTGCTTCAACTGCCTCGTCGTACAGGCCAGACTAGAGTCCCTGGCGCAAAACGGAGGAGGCGATTCATCATCGCGTTCCAGTCTGGTTTGCGAGCTGACGAGGTGCGTAGGAGGATTCGCGGGAGGAAAGTCAGTAACCTCCACCCCGCGGTCGAGTTGGGATTGGCTGCCAGGTGGAGTAGCAGGGTGAGTAGGCAGACTGCGAATGATTCGCGTAGGTCTTTTGGCGGGTGACGGGCGAGGGGGGGCTGGCGACTGTCGCGCAGTGGGTCCAGGTCCCAGCCTGCGACTTGCGCGAAAAGGTCCAGTCGTTTCGCCAAGTCGCCTGGGTGGATCATTGGTGGGGTTGGAGTTGGGGTTGGGGTGTTCCTATTGGTTGCGGCAGAGTCAAATGTGATTTCTGTCGCGGTCCGATTTCCCCTCCAGGCCTGATTTCCCCCCACATTCCGATTCCTGGCTGGGGTTCGTGTTGCAAACGCGGCTCCAATTTGTTGGTCCGGGAACTCAGCCCCACGAACCAGGAGCTCCTCATCATCTTCATCAGCTTCAGCATCCAAACCTCCCTCCGTTTCGGGGTTAAAACCTGGGTCACCCTCGTCACTCTCGTCATTCTCCAACTCACCACTCTCCCCCCTGCTCGCGGCTTCCTCGCCGCCTTCCGCGCCTTCCCGGAGTAGTTGTTCTGCTGTTCTCGCATAGCCGCTCGCGCCTGTAGGTCGGCCTCCTCTCCTCCCAGCTCCTCTTCCTCGGCGTCCTCTCCCGCCTACGCGTGGTCCGCCAGGTGTGCCACTCCTCGCGATTGGGCCGTGCATTACAGGCGTGCGGTTTTCGCCAATCTCCTCCCCTGCCAAGCGGGGCTCTGACGTCCTCGGCTCACGCCTCAGTCGTGATGGCGGGGTCTGTGGGTCGCGACCGCGCCTTGTAAGCAACCGCAGAGAGCGCTCAGCTTGTTGCGCAGCCAAACCCCGAGTATGCGCCTCCGCGTTCCTAAGTGCAGGCTCGTCCTGCTGCGTCGGCGCCCGTGCGCCGTCTTGAGCGCGAGTTGTCTCTTCCGCTGCGCGGGGCGGATCGTCACGCGTCTCCTGAGCAATCCCGTGCTCCCCTAGTCGTCGCGTCGAATGCCTTGCCGGCGCGTCAGGAGCGGGGCCGGTCCCCGCCGCCTCGTGGATATCGGCCCGCGTCCCCTGCGCGTCGCGCCCCCGAGCCGCATGACTCTCGGCGGCGATGGAACGAATATCAGCGGGAAATTCAGCATCGCGACCGCCGCTACCGCTCTTCTGAGAGGTCGTCGGAGAAGCGCTCCCCGCGGGAGCGGTCCCCTCGGCAGCGGACGCCGCGGTCGTCGCCTTCGCGTCGGGGCCGCGGGGCTCATGCGGGCCGTTGGGATTCTCGCCGCCGTGAGCAGTCCCCGCCCCGTCCTCAGTCGGCTGGGTCTAGAGGGCGTTGTGGGCGGCGGAATGGTTATGCGCGCGGCGGGGGTAGTCGTGGCCAGGGCTACACTGCTGACCGCGCGGGGAATATGGTGGCGGATGCAGTGCGGGAGGTGGAAGCGTCGGGGGCAGCGGCTCACGTTCACGTGTCTGTGACCACTGAGCCCCCCACCGCACCTGTTGCGGTTGAAGCCGGTCCGCTGCGCGCTCCAGCCTTGCGGGAGTATCTGCCAGCTGCAGCGGCGAGGGGGCCGTTCCGCGGACGCCGCCAAGCTGCAGGTTACCCTGCTCCTCAGAATACGGTTGGCCAGACTCCGGGCCAGGTGGGGATGTTTCTGCCGCGCGGAGATCCGACTGCGCCTCTCCCCAGCCGCGCGGGGAGAGATCCCACGCTGAGCATGTGCCGGATGTGGAATTTGGTGGGGGCGGCTGAGGGGCTGGCAAGCCTGCAGCTGGCGGCGTGTGAGGCCATGCGTCACACACCGAGCAGTTTTGCTCAAGGGCCCCAAGGACAGTGCGTCGCTTGGGCAGGAGAGATTGTCCCCCTTTTATCGCCCGTGTCGGATGCGCCCGCCGGGGTAGCACCCTTAGCCCATACCTTCCCCCGCCTCGCTCTTGATCTTCACGCTGCGGCTCAGCACGGGACCCCTGTTGATACTCTTCGCTTTTCGGCGGAGCTTCTCCACTCGATGGCGGGGTGTCTTCTCGCGATGCTTGAGGCGGAGGGGACTGGCCTGTACACGCAGTAGAGCGGCGTCTCGTGTAGTATTGCATCTTGATCGTAAGGTGATGCTCTCCAGTTGCTTGATTTCTTCCTTCTTGGAATGCCTTGCTTGATCAACTCCTTGTGTGAGTGTCTTGCCTCTGAAACGCGCGGCCGAAGGCCGCGCTGGCGAGCGGCGGCGGCCGAAGGCCGCCGGCGCGAGCCGCGGAAAACTGAGAACACACGAAATAATGAGGAGAAGAAGGCACCAAGGGCCCTTAAAATAGGCTCAGAGGAAGAGGGCCGAGGGAAGAGGAAGAGGGCTCGGTGCTAAGGCCTTCTCTCTCTCGCTCTCTCCCGCAGAAAACTGAGAACACAGGAAATAATCTGAGAACACACGAAACAATGAGGAGAAGAAGGCACCAAGGGCCCTTAAATAGGCTCAGAGGAAGAGGGCCGAGGGAAGAGAAAGAGGGCTGGGTGCTAAGGCCTTCTCTCTCTCGCTCTCTCCCGCGGAAAACTGAGAACACACGAAATAATCTGAGAACACACGAAATAATGAGGAGAAGAAGGCACCAAGGGCCCTTAAATAGGCTCAGAGGAAGAGGGCCGAGGGAAGAGGAAGAGGGCTGGGTGCTAAGGCCTTCTCTCTCTCGCTCTCTCCCGCAGAAAACTGAGAACACACGAAATAATGAGGAGAAGAAGGCACCAAGGGCCCTTAAATAGGCTCATGGGAAGAGGGCCGAGGGAAGAGGAAGAGGGCTGGGTGCTAAGGCCTTCTCTCTCTCGCTCTCTCCCGCGGAAAACTGAGAACACACGAAATAATCTGAGAACACACGAAATAATGAGGAGAAGAAGGCACCAAGGGCCCTTAAATATGCTCTGAGGAAGAGGGCCGAGGGAAGAGGAAGAGGGCTGGGTGCTAAGGCCTTCTCTCTCTCGCTCTCTCCCGCGGAAAACTGAGAACACACGAAATAATCTGAGAACACACGAAATAATGAGGAGAAGAAGGCACCAAGGGCCCTTAAATAGGCTCTGAGGAAGAGGGCCGAGGGAAGAGGAAGAGGGCTGGGTGCTAAGGCCTTCTCTCTCTCTCTCTCTCTCTCTCTCTCTCTCTCTCTCTCTCTCTCTCTCTCTCTCTCTCTCTCTCTCTCTCTCTCTCTCTCTCTCTCTCTCTCTCTCTCTCTCTCTCCCTCTGCTTCTCCCTGCATCCTGCCGCACCCCTCTGCATCCCTTGCAGGTCACTGGAGAGCAATCAGATCAAGCAATCGATTCGAGAGTGCCGTTCCTGAGTGGATCGGATCAGAATGGCCCTCCTTGGTGCCCTTTCAGGCGCCTCAAATACACCTCCTTGATGCCCCTCTGCATCCTGTAGGTGTGGGGACTGCCAACTTGGGAGAGGGAGGGGGGATGAATGAGGCGTAATTTGTCACAGCCCCCGTTGGTGCTCCTATGAGTGTTGGGAAGGGGTGTGGGGTGGGGGGAGGGGGGGGGGGGGGGGGGTGGGTGAATGAATGGGACGTCACGTCTCACATGCCTTTGGTGCACCTCTGAGTGTTGGGAGGAGCTCTTTCCATCTCCTCATTCCCTCCCCCCTCCCCCCTCCTCTCTTCCCCCGCCCCTTCCCCTCCTTCCCCCCGCCCTACATACAGAAATCCTTTTATCTCTTTGTCCCCTACCCCCCTGCCCCTCCAGATCTTTTTTCATACTCTTCGTGAATCCTTTCCTTGTTCATGCCCTTGCTGCTGCTCCCCATCTCTTTTCCCTCCCTGTATGCGCGCACACGATTGGCCAGCGACCTATTTTTGGGGCAGATTCCAAACAAATCTGGGCAGCTGAAAAACCTTGTGATGCTGTAAGTGGAACGTTTGGGCCAGGATGTTAGTGTATTTTTCGGGCTCCATCCCATACCAACGGTCGTGTAGGTGACCTGCAGCAGGCAGGGCTTACTTCATCAGAAATTTTTTGTCTGAATTTCTGGATTCTGAACACATTTTTACTGGTTCATCTGATGCCGTAGACATGCTGTTTAATTTCGTCTGATTTTTTTAGAGAAGCTTTTTCTATTCGTCTGATTTCTCAGACAGCCTTATACAGTTCGTCTAAGACTGCAGATATCGAGTCATTTTCGACTGAAGGCAAAACTCTCGAAAGAAGCAGACGACAAGATTCGAACTGGATACCACAGTCTTCACTGCTCCATTTTCTACTGACCGAGCATTAGAGGTGTTCAACGGATTTACTTAACAATTAATCATATTTAATAATACATTGCTTGCTAGCTTTATATCTTCTCAGACAAGTATTTAGGATTCGTCTGAGAAGCTAGACAAGGTTACAGCTTTCGTCTGACAATCAGACAAGGAGCCAGGACCCGGTCTTGACATCAGACGGGTCATTTTACTAAAGTTAGCCCTGGCAGCAGGTCTGCTCGTGCCTGGAGCAGCTCTCTTTGTCCCATTCACCCCCAACCTTTCCATACCTCCACACACACCCTCTCCCTTTCATGCAGCGACCAACCAGTTCTCGGGCTCCGTCCCAGCGGACATGTCTGCTCGCGTCTGGAGCAGCTCTTGTGTCTTGTGTTTTATTGAATAACCTCAACTAGGATGTGTATTGATTTTGTTTAATGCTCTCCTTTCTACGGCTCACTTGAATAGCTTCTCGATGCATCATTCCAGCTCACACATCGCGCACAGCTACAAAGGACGTGAAATCAACTCCTCTCAGTACCAGAACATTCATGTGCAAAATTATGAATAAACACAGCTTCTGTATGTACCTCACCTCTCTAGAACGGTGCTGGTCCTCTAAACTCAAATGATGGCCTATCTGGCTCATAGCTACAGAAGGAACAAATTGAATGGTTGCTGCTGGCATGTCGACCAGCAGATTATGACACAACTCAAAACTGGTTCTAGGGTCACGAGCCGTGCACCGTAACCACTGCAACACACCACTCCCTGCAACAACCCTCCTCTCCTCTCCTGTCGTCACAACCCTTAAGAGTCAAGCGGCCTTGACTTGAGCCTCACTCACTCAATCACATCCTGCCTGCAGCTTGCCACGTGCCACCTCCACGTGCCGCCTCCACACGGCAGCCGACCGTCACTGCCCACCGCCGGCACTGCCGTTGCTCCGTGTGCGCTTGTGCACGTGCTCATCCTCCTCTCCCTCCATCCGCGCTCCATCTACCCACGTGTCTGTCGGCCGTTTCAAAGACGTCGCTGCCACCGCTGCTGCTGCTGCCACCGCCTCTGATGCAGTTCCTTCTGCAGCCACTGCACAGCCACCGTCATTGTTGCTCCTGCTCCTGCTGCTGTTATTCACACCAGTCTCTTCTCTCTGCTCTCCCTCTTCTCCACCCAAACCACCGCCCTCCCCAGCCAAGTTCACTGCTACAACAGCTCCCTTTTCAGCCCCGGCCGCCCCTGCTGCCGCCACCCCTCCTGCTCTCTCCATTTGCACTCTCATCACCACCTCCTGTGCCACCTCCCCTTCTGCTGCTCCTGCTGTTGCCACTGCTCTTGACTCCACTGTTCTTGAGCTAACAGTCGAGGAAGTTGGCTTAAGGGGAACAGATGCCTCTTCCTTCTCCTCAACCGCCTTCTCCATTTTCTTCTCCTCTTCCTTTTCAATATCCTTCTCCTCCTCCTGTTGCTTCTCCGCTTCTTCACCCTCCGTTCCCCCCCCTCCCTTCTCCGCGCCCTCCCCCTCCTTCGCGCTCCTCTCCGCAACTCTATGATCCACCAGCACTCGTATCCAATCCATCACGCGAACCACGTGTTGCAGCGCGGTGGCCGGGTCGCTAACCTGGGTCATATTCGGCGCAAACACCACCGCCATGTTGCGCGCGCTCATGCGGTTCTCCTCCCCGTGCGCGCACACGTCCGCCATCAGGTTCAGCGCCCAGTCCAGCAGCCCGCGCTCCGTCGCGGGGAGTTTCGCGGCGAGCGCGACGGCGGCTTCCGTCGTGTTGGGGGTGTTGGCGAGGCGGGAGGGCGACACGGAGTCTAGCAGGCCGTATGGAAGCTCTTGGAACCAATTCTGGAAGGGGGGAGCGTAACGGGGGTCGGGGAGGGAAAGGGAGAGCAGGGAGAAAGGGGGCAAGGGAGGAAAACAACTGAGTTTCACATCACATCTGCAAACGCGAAAGCAAATATGTGAGGCAACTGCGCATACATAGAGCTTCAAGGAAGGTGCTGGGAGAGGCGCGGGGAAAGGCGCGGGGAAAGGCGCGGAGCGAGGCGTGCGAAGAGGCGCGCAGGGGCGAGAGCGGATGTGTACCTTAATGAGCGCGGCGATACTGTGCACGTCCATGTCCGCGGGTACGGTCCCCGCGCTCATCTGCTCGCGCACGCGCTCGTCGTGATCCATCTTGCCCGATATGCGGAAAATGCCCTCCGCCTGGCGCGCGGAACACGCAACACGGGAAAGGAGAGCGGAAGCGGAGATGAGGAAAAGGCGGAGATGGCGACAGCGAGGCGAAGAGAGCAAGGAGGAGTTGACGTGAGAGGGGGAGAGGACGGATGGCGCGGATTATAGGACCGGGCTGTGAGCGCGACGGGCGGCGAGAAGAAGGATCTAGAACTGCGCAAGAGAAGATTGCTCGTTTTGTTCTTTAAGCGGAATATGTTGGTCGATACGCGACACGGTGGTCGTGGAAAACGAGAGCGCGACAGCAGAGGAAGCGGACACGGCACAGACACGACAGGGAGGAGTGGCGCGGCGCGGCAAGGAAAAGCGGCGCGACGTACCGAGAGGCCGTGAAGCTCGTATAGGCGCTCCTGCAGCTTGATCAGGATAGTCGGCACCGCGTTGCCATGTCTATCCAGAGAGCACTGCATCGACTCGGGTCGCACGCCGAACACGGACAGGCTGCCACGTGGACAAACGGAGGGGGGGGGGGGGAGGTACGCGGAGGGCGGAGGAGAAGGTAAGCGTGAGGTGGAGGGGGAGGGTGGAGGTGGAGGTATATTCGAACGACTTATCGATTAATTCATTCCGTAGCATGTGGAACGCGTGCACGGAGCTATACGGCCGAGG